TATGGATATCTAAATAGCCTCCATTTTGTATTTAGTATTTTGAATATTTCTAATTACATCCTTAACAGCATCAGTTGTAAGAAACAATTATAGATCAAAGAGGTATATTCATAATTATTATAAATTATCAAATTATTACTGGGCATCTCATGATCCTCCAAGAACTCTAAAACAGCTGTCAACATAAAACCAATATAAATCAAATACAGCTTATATGCAGCCAAATATCAAAGTTCCCAACATCCCTTTAGTTGAATGTTTGTTTAACTCCCTTCTCCACAGGTGTTTCAAGAAGAAAGGAGGCAAGTGCTTCTGCTAGCACTCTTTGCTGCTCTGTGTACTGCTCTGCTTTGATTTTAAAGGAGGAGACAAAGGGATTCCCAAAACACCATTATATGAAATCTTTCAATTGACAGCAGAGGTCAAAGGATTCCACATGTAGCTGTACCCATGGCAAACCTACTTACTGCAGGTTTCAGAGGGAAAAGGCAACTCTTGGCAGCACTTTTGCACTTTACAAGACCTTACAATTAAGATCTGCTTCTGAGGCACTAAAATTCAGCCTCTTCCACCTTCAGATCTTACCTTTTTCATATTCTCTCACACAGAAATCCCCTAAGGTTGTACTTGATTCACTGCTGGATCCAAGTGTCTCATTCTGAAGAGCTGCAGCTGTTCTGTGCATGCTGCATCTACGCTACTCAAAAAGCTAACCACAAGGTTCCACAGTTTAATTTGTCTTGGTCTTGTTATCAGGCTAAAAGATCACAAACTAGCATGCTAGTATGCCTTACTGTACTATTCTCCTACACCAAACACAGAGAATTATGCTTATATCTAAAACTTAAATTGTGGTTATTGATTATCAGGAAATGCAGCTTTATATATATCTGATGATGCAGAAAGTTTCAGTCTTATAATCAGTACGAATCATTAAAGGTGGAGTTAGGAAATCCTCTTTGATGTTCTGTATAATTCTGTATTTGATGTAGTCTTTTCTACATTTGGCTAAATAAGCTTGTTCAGCAAAAAAAAAAAAAAAAATCAAGTTTTCATCTGCTCTTTTCCCTCTTTTATCCCAACTTTATTCCTTGTTGCTCTAAGATACTCTATTGCTAATTACTACATTACTGACTATTACTAATTGCTATATTATGTAACTGGATTTCTCTGCCTTTTTATAGGTCATTATTTTTTTCCTAATAAAACAAATAAAACGAGTCTCAAGATACTTAGATGTTTAAATGTGTGTCAGCTCTGTTTTACCTTTGTTCCTAAAGAAAGCCATAGTTTTTCACTGCTGCAACTCCTACATAAATCCAGCTCCCTTTAGTTTGACATCAGTGACCAGACTTCTCTGTAGTGGCTAACATCAGCCCGAGTTAATGGAATTCTCTCTTGATTTCACACTGATTGCAAACACTTCTAGGGTTCTTTATACCAGAAGTATCTTCTCTCTTTTTTTTCTCAGTAACAACAAAGCTTTTTAACTCTCCTCAGCTGATCCACTGTGCATGTTCTAGTCAGGGAGCAAGGAGAGAGGAATGACAGGATTTCTCACATCCTCCATCCTCATTTTGTCAGCAGGAATTCCTGTATCTGAGGACTGGTGGGAATGGCCAGAGGAAGATGCTGCTCACCAAACACAGCACTACCAATTTGTTTGCCAGAATGGTGGGAGTAAAAAGCAGGAAGCAAGGCAGAGAGGTTCAGAGAGGTTTGATGAGGTAGTTTGGGAAGTGACTCCAAAAGCCAGCTCTACAAAATGTGAGTTATGCGAGTCCAGCATGTGGCTTGCTCAGCTCTCATCTTGCCCTTCCCTCTTCAGAGTACATCTTCCTTAACAATTTAGAACCGGGAAGCTTAGCTCTTATGCAAAACAATAAACTAGTCACAGAAAGATTCTTGAGGGAAATGACACAAATCAGGCTGGGGTTGCAGAGGCACAGTATGGTAAATGGCTAATTTTGCCTCTGGTGGAACACTCTTGTGCTATTGAGCATTTTTTCTTTATTTCCACAATTCAGGTTTTCCATTATGTCAGCATCTACCAGCACTGCAATTCAGACTTTAGTATACATCCTATTTAGTACAAATTTACTAGTACCCAATAAGCAGAAATAAATAGTTGTTCCAATACCAGAAATTAATTTACCTCATGCTTAGTGCCTACAATGTTTTTCTCTCATCTGCTTAGCTGTAAATATTTATATGAAAGTTAATATATTACTTGCTTTCCATATGTCTGTCCTGAAACCAGCAGCTTCTGAAGGAAGTTATTTAAGGAAATGTCTTTTGCACCCTACTAAACTAATGCATATGAAATATTATGGAAGCAGAATAATTATTGTTCCAAAAATAATGAGGCATGTATCAGAATAATAGAAATACAATCTTTATCAATCTGGAGGAAAAAATATAAGGGGAATCAATTTCATATTTCATCAGCTTCTAAGAACACTGAGATCTGGAATTAAACTTTTCCCACAAACTTATTAATGTATGACCATGCACCACAAAAGGGTGTGTACCTTCCTCTAAAGCCTGTAGTACTGATTTCCAGAGGTAGAACAAAGCTAGAGAGATACAACACTGGGTGCCTATTTTAATATTTCTATATTTAATAAAACTTCTATTTTTATAGCTTTTGCCTTCTCAGCAAGGAAAGATATCGGGTATTTTTTCTTAAGTTAAAGTAATCAAGAGGGACACAAAGATGCTGTTGACCTGTTGACTTCTATTTAAAGAAAGAAATAGAAAAGGTAAAAGCAAATTCTATGTGCTGACTTTTCTGAACATGGCTTAATGCCTACTTAATGATATTTTTGTCAGGCATGGCACTCATGAGTGCCTGCTTCTGCCAGTTGAGAAGTCTAAAAAAATCAAAGTCACTGAACACTGTACAGAACATTACAGTCAGCATTCAACAAACATGTTTCAGTTCATGATTTCAAAAGAATTTTTGTAGAAACCAGGTAGATAAATTTTACTTATTCGTTTTCTGTCTCTAGATAGTATAGGAATTTAATTAAGGGGAATTGAAGTAGTGGTAGTAAAAAAGTGAAGACAGAACTCTCATATGGCTTATGAGATTTATGGCTCTCACACGGCTTTGAAACTACACAGTTTTAAGAATGCATGTTGAATTACTACATATATGTGAATATTCAGTGTCTAGTTCCACAGTTTCATTGATAGAATAAATAACTCACTTTCAAGCACTGAAACTACACTTAAGCAGAAGAATAAATTAACTGTTTATTTCTGGAGACATTGTTTGATGTGTGCAATAAATAAACCACCATATTCATAAAATAATTCAATTTATAATTTTCCTCTTTAATACATTCCAATAATACTGAAGGTAAAATTTTAATTAAAAAGATAAAAGATGTAGAGTGATGCCCAATAGTATGGTGTAGGTGAAATGGAAAAACAAGGGTAGTAAATACTTCCTTAGGTAGTCATGTTCTATCTCACTCCTTTACATGAGAACCAATTTAATCTGCAGCAGTCCTACTTCTGACTCAAATTTCAGTTAAGCATTGAGGAAGCAGGAGAATCAGCAGATTAAGTAGGGTTATACATACAATACATAAAGTCATATTTTTGTGGTACATACAGTCACAACACTTACGATAAGGTCCACTCACAGTATTACGCTCACCTCTCAAAGGCAACACCTTTCAAAGCCAACAACATATAAATACTTTACTTTCCATAAGTGTCAAAATAAAAGAAATCTCTCAAAGGCAACACCTTTCAAAGCCAACAACATATAAATACTTTCCATAAGTGTCAAAAAAAAAGAAACAGCTAAACACAACAGTATCCGAGTCCCTCTTACATGTTAATAAACATTCCTATGCCTTGTGCAGTTAAAACTACATTTGCAAAATACCCAAATAACCATGCAGCACATCTACGAAGTTTTAAAGCATCTTAAGCCATTTTCATGGTCTTAGTTTTGTCAATTCTATTTTCATTAGTGGGGCTTTCTGTTTGGAAATGGACTTTGCTAAAGTCGTATTTGCTAAATGTAAAGTAAAGTGTATTTGCTAAATACACTTCTATTTTCCCACACTGAAATATATTCTAGAAAGTAATTATATGAAGTGTATTAGTCTAAATTATCTGCGAAACAAATAATTATAATAATAGTTAAGAATTAATATTTAATAAATGTAATGGTTTTTTTGCATTCAAATACTAAATGTCTCATTTTATAGTAGCTTTGCCAGTCCTGGGAGCAAGGAAAAACAACCTGGAAATAAAAGTCTAAACCAGATATCTTTTCCTCAGCCAAATTTTATAGGTCAGAAGTCTCGTGTTTTCCACTTAAAATGTGACCTCAATTAATGAAGACTTTTAGAGGACACTAAATTATTTTTGCATAATAGAAATTTAAATTGAAAATATCTTGATTATTTTAATTAACATACTCTATATGACATGACCCTGTTCCAGATAGCAGGAAATTTTGGATAGTATATTTAAGGCTATAATACTACACAGATATTCAGATTCTTGGCAATCTGCCATAGCTGGGGTAAAAGCTTTTCTTAGTGTATAAAATACTTTCCCAAGTGCCAAAAAGCCACTATTGAACTAAGCAACTGCATCTTCCAGTTTTCAATAGATCAAGATAACTCTGGTTAACTATATGAAAGCCATGAACAAGTTTCAATAGCTCTCATGCCATCTGTCACTCAATGAACATCTTTTTTCCTTCCCTGAGCTTTTAAATCATGGCACTATTGTTCATTCTGATAGATAATTACACTGCTTCTTTCATTTGTTTTAACTTATCATTCTTAAATTTTAATAATCAAGAACATTGTGTGATAAGAGTTTTGCTGCACATTTCCAAAATTTTATTATAGACACATAAGAAACTTTTACTGAAGAAACAACCTGGCACTCATCTATTACTTTCTAATAGGATGTTGAATATTTCAGTTTAGCATATTTTGTTGCTTTTCAAAACAAAACTCCCTTGCCTTAGAATGATAATCTTGTTCCAGCCTGGAATCTGATCCTGCTACCTGTTTGTACTTGCTCATTTTCATTTGGCGATTCCTTTCTTCTACATCCAGTGCACCTGTTAAGTTAAAAACAGAAGGAAAAAAAGAAAATAAATACACAAGAAGTCATCATTTTCAAGGTTAAAATTAAGCTCATGGAAGTTTTAACAGAAAGAGATGAAATTTGATTTATTTAAGTTCCGTGCATGTAATTTTAGTTCCTGAATTATGATTTTGCAGAAAACCAAAAAGTTGTAACAGGAGGAAAATAGCAAAGTATTTCAGCAGAATCTTAATAAGTGTTGTATTATCTACACAATTTAAATGAAGCCAACTTTGTGAAAAAACTCAATATAAATGAAACACAGTGTTTCCACGGAATATAATTTTACTATTTTATGAATATTCAAGAGAAATTGAGTATTTTATTTCATAAGGAGGAATGCAAAGATAACCTGCTTATTTTGGGTAGAGATTCTGGTTCTGCATTTATCATAGTCTGACATATCAAATTAATAATCAAGTAACAGCCACGGACTAGCAGACCTTCCATTTACTATTTGAGTATATTCTTAGTATGCTCAAAAAATTCCAAGAACGACTAATGGAATCTTAAAGAGCCACCCAGTGGCATCACTGTATTACATTCTAATGAAACGCAGCTTCAAGAACAACTCCAGGATTCACTCCATATGTGATTAGTTTTAGTCAGGGATGGGGTCTCACTACGTGACTCAGGCTGGTTTCAACAAACTGGTACTGTACCATGACTTACAATGTAAAATAATAAGGAAATGCCAAAGCTGAGGTGGAAGATTGAGAAACAGAAAAATGAGAGGGAGACAACAGCTCTGAAAAGATTTTAAAACAAAATATAATTAGCTATCATACACACATAAGTAGGATTCTTTTCCACTTTAACCTACTGTAAGTCAAGAATAAATCATTATCCACCAAATGCTAAAAGGCTTTCATTTTGAATGACATTTGTCTTAAAATATCCATAATTTTAATGCAAAAGTTGTCTAGGACAAAAATTTCAGAATCCCGCTAATGATAAACAGAAGTTTCTGTATATTGTAAGTATTGAGCAATATGGACTGCATTTATGGAACTGAGATGGGAATATTAGATGCCAGTGTACTACAGTACAGAAACCTGGTTTAAACTCTAAACCTCAGCTGAAAGTCATGATCTAACAGCAAAGTGGGGCTTGGCACAGAACCTGGGCCTCTCAGCTTTGTTTTCTCTCTTGAAAACAATTGGGGTGGTAGCACCTACGAGAGCTGCCAGGTAGATGTTGTGGCACTTCATAGGAAATCTGGAAGGAGAGGAGGTAAAAGGAAGTGGGAATGCCAAACCACTAAGCTGTTCTGTTCTCTATAAGCACTTTGGCTTTTTGTTTTTGTATTCTAAGTCTCTATTTTTACACTCTATAACAACATGAAAGAAAAGACTTCATCAAAAATTCTAAGAGAAATTAAAATGAAGAAAAATTAATGACAAAGAATAAATGGTGTTTTATAGGGAGAAATAAAATGAAAAACAGAGCAACAGATGACAATTTCTAAAATAATTTTTCCTATCATAATTTTCCTCAACCATTATAGAACCCATAGCAGTGTTTGTCAATTTATCACTAGGATGAAGTGAATTGTTTAGGATCTAGTTTTAAAAGCTCTGGTTTTTTTCTCTTGAAAACAAAAAGTTACACTGGAAAATATTCTCTTTTTTCAATGACAGAAGTAACACATAATTTTTTTAAGTAAAATACTCCAGACTCATCTCAAAGAAAGAAATCATCTTTTGCTGAAATCAAAATCTTCTTGTCCTTTTTCAGTAATGTCAGAAAGGAGATATTTTTCAAAAAAGGGACATTTTTTCAATTTTTCTTGCGTTTTATTATGAAATCATGACATGTTTTCTCTGTCCTCAGACATTCTGCCAAATTTCAGGAAAGTGCAAATGAAGAAATAACAATTCCTGAGCATAAATTAGAAACTTCACCATTATTTGAGAAAATATTCATTCTTATTTATGATCAGTTGGCAAAGTGAATGTTAGATTTCCACAAATTCAATTGCCTACGATATGTACAAAATATGCCACTCAAAAGGGGAGCACAAGATATAAGGCCTTGGTGTGAGTCTTCTGCAACAAAACAAGAAAAATTTGTAGCTTATTTCTTCTCAAGAGAAAAACAAGACAAAAAAATGTTGAAAAAAAATTATTCAGTTCCCATAAAATCTTATCAAAGGAAAATCCAACTTCCTTTGTATTTTTGAAACTGTCTCTAACAAGTGAGTGAATTCAGTTATGAGGAAAAAGAGGAAAAGCCGAGGACAGTGGATAGTCCATAAAGCAGAAGAAAGCTGGTTCTGCTGTGCCTGGAGCTGACATTCAGAGTGCAGGGTTGAGCTCGCTGAGACTTCAGCCAGGGGCAGCTGGGACCTGCATGGCAGCAGGACAGGCTGGAGTGTCACAGCACTCCCCATTCCCGTGGCCCAGCACAAAGGCATGGCACACTGAGTGGTGGGATGCGGGGCGGTCATCACCTCCACTCCTGCTGGCAAATCTCTGCTAAGCTCCCACCTGTGTGGGAGGGTTTAGCAGGACAAGAAAATACTGAGAGAGTTCAGTAAAATGTCTGGGTGCATTAAAGCTTCAGCTTTTAGCATGAGTTTGGTAACCAAGGCAGAACATTGGTCCTACCATAAGGACCCCACTGCAGTCAGGAGCTGTTCATGGAGCATGTGTCAAGAAACCAGAACTAACCTGAATCTAACCATTAGTTATCAACAGGGGTTAAAATGTAGGAGCATAAGCTTTCACACACCTGAATGACAAAGGCTGACTGAGCCCTTGTGTTATTAGATCCTGAGCTGGAGCCCAGTACAACACGTTTTCAGGACTATAAAGACTGGCACTAGAAAACTTAAAGTTGCTTCTGATACACTGAAGTACTGCCAAAATGTATCAAAGTGTACGCAACCAAATTTTGGCCAGATAAAATGAGTTCATTTCTTTATGAATATCTTTCCAGAATTTTGCTTATAAAACAGTAGTTGTGCCTCCAACAGAAATATCCAATGAGACACTAAAATTCCAGCCATATGAACACAAAAAATTAAGACTGAAGGGAAGAACAAAGCCTGGTGCTGCTCACCAGACATAATTGGGATCATTGCACTGTAGGCAACATTCTAGAGTTTTGGTTATTTTGAACTCTCTAGCATTAAAACCCCATGGCCTGAAGGTTAGTTCAGTGGGGTTTTCATGGGCACAAGGCAATTCCTGGCTGACACAACTGCTACTTCATTACCAGCTATTCCCCATATTTTCAGAAGAGAACGTGCTGAGGGAAAGTAATATAACTACACAGGAAAGACTCCTGAAATGCCAGAGTAAGCACAGAAGTCCTGTGCAGTGCAGCCCTGTAATCTCTCAGATCCACAAGGACTGCAGTGGGAGAATGTTGTGCCAGAGCTTAGCTCTAGTGCTACAGTAAATTAAACCTTGGGCCACATGAATGTGATGGCTTGTTTTGTTTGATCTATGGAAATGTAACCACTAGACAATGAACTATAATTTCAACTTTAGCTATAGAATATTTTGTAACAGAAGTAGGAAATTTCTCAAGACACAGACAAAAGGATGCCTGGAGGCTGTGGGAGTAAATCAGAAGAGAAAACCCCAGATGCTGCTAACAGGATTGCAGCATCTGATGAGCAGGAGTGCAATAAGAAAATGAAGCCACCTATGGAGACTATAAAATCCAGTCACAAGCAACAGGCAGGGCCCCAAATAAGAGGCACCCAGCATGAACTGTAACTACTATTGCCTATTAAACATAGCAGAAAAAGGAACTCTGCTTGATAATTTTATTGAAGTGGAAGCTAGCCCTACTGAGGTAAGATCCACATAATTCCTGCCATGGTCTAGGTGGTGGCTGTATAATTCCATTCCTACAACAGGACTCAGGACAAGCATTAAAATCATCTTCAAATAAAAAACATTATTTTCATGTTTTAACTTGAAATAAGCCAAGATGAAACAAGATAAGATTCAGCTACTTCACCACTAAAGTGAAGGGCTGTAATCAGTGATTTGGTTAATACCTAACTTTTCCTAACCCCTGAGCTGCTCACTGAGTCACGGTTTTACAAGGAGATAAGCGATCATTGAATTCAGCCTAGAGCTAAAGACTGTTATTTGCTCTTCTGGTCAAATACTGGCTCCTCTCTAGGGTAAGATTCTTCAGCTGATAGCCTGTGATCCACACCAGAGACAAAAGGGAGAACAAACTGGCCTTATCATCCAGCTCAGCCTAAGGCACACCTATCTGGTTAAAAATCAAAATAAAACCGGCTGGGACCTCTGCTCTTTCATTCTTTCTTTCATTGTCTTCTCCAGTGGGACTTATTAAACCAGTCTAGTTCCTAGAGATGCTGGTGATGGAGATCCTATTGCAGGATCTGAGTTTGGAAGAGGAGTTTGCTCTACAGTGAGGCTTTTGTGGCACAAAGAGTTAAAGGGAATCTGGTATGGAAGAAAAGTGAAGTTTCCCTTGTAATATTAGAACAGATTTAGTTTTGAATACATGTGAACAAAAAGGATAGAAAATTTTGGAGGCACAGCCACTAAGGCATGGGGGAAAGAAACTAATGATGAGGGGACTAAAGACTGATAAAGACTGATATTTTGGAAATCAGAAACCTCTAATAGAGCAGAAAAATGTGCGCAGGTGAGCACGTTCTGTGTCTGGAGAGGGGACGACAGAACAGAGGTCTTAAAGTGTATGGTATCTGCATTTAGCTGCTTCTGGTCTCTTCCTTACCATTTCTCACCCTTATTTGACACTCTTAAACTAGCAAAGGAAATACATTTGGGAAAGCCCTTTCTTAAGTTCCATTTCCTAGTGTCTAGATTTTGAAATCTGCAAAAGACATAAAAATTGCACTCCAACTCTTTGCTACATATTTGCTCAAACATAACAGATCAAAGGGAGAAACACAAAAATATTTTTAATAAGTCACCCTACCTGTATCCCCATTCTCTGGATCTGTTTTCTTTTCTTCTATAAACAAATGAAAGCAATATGTAAAGCAAAAAGAAGGGGAGAGAAAAAAAATGCAGAAATAATAATAAAAGTAATATAAAATGCATTAAAAAGGAAAACATTAACAAAACTCACCAAATTAATAAAACATGAATAATTTAGTCAACCAACCAAGTATGGTGCTCTAAATCCAGAGGCATATTCACTGCATGCTAGTGCATACATTTGTGTGCTGTTATTAAACATTTACTGAAGGGAACCCATGGATATTTTGTGCACTTCCAGAATCATTAACACACTCAAGAAAAAGAGAGCAAGGCAGGTGTCAGGTAGAGTTACTTTCCAGTTCCCTTAATCAGGATGACACAAAAACAGAAGTAAAAAAAATTTGCTTGTGCTGTAGGTTTTATGCAGTGCACACACAAGACACAGTCTAATGGTTCAGGCATAAAAATTGAATGTGTCAGAATGGGTTTTGGCAATTACTTTAAATCTTCATTGGTTTAATCAATTCTCATAGCTTCTACAGGTTAAAAGGTTTAATAATGATATTACTGTAACTTGTCTTAGAGTTAAAAGTTACGAACAAAAGACACTACAATCAATACTCAGAAACCCAGTTCATGCACATAAACTCAGCTGACTGACGCCAACTCTGAATACATATCAAAGGTTACAAATGGCTCAGGGCATTCATCTGTCACAAAGAAATGAAAATACATTGGATCTCTATCAAATAATTTGGCAGCCCATAAATAATCTGAAATCCAGTTTTGGTAAATAATGTGAAAGAATTTTAAGTCGAATGAAATTTATTTTAATTAGAAATACATTAACTTTGAAATAGGTTCTGTTTCCTTTTCAAAACTATATTAAATTCAATTAAAACAATCCCATTAATATGGAGCAACAGCCCCCAAGCTACACACCAAAAAATAGTATACATTGCTAGAACTAAACGTTTTTCCAGTTATTGGTTATTGAGGATTGCTCAAAAAATTATTATCTAATTTACAGTTCACAGACTGAAGAAGAAAACAAGAGTTGCTGTATTTTAAAGAAATATAATTTTGTAGGTGGGTATCAAAGCAGAGGATGAAGTCAAATTCAGAGAGAAATGATACTCAAGCAAGGTAGAATCATAAGAAGGAAAAATGTGTTCCTACAGAGAGCATAAATATGCTACACTTCAATAGGACCTGGCTTCCTATCATGCGTGGGATCACGATTATTGTTCTACTGGCAATTTCTAGTGGAACTATTAGGCAAAGTAATGGGAAACAGATAAGGCAGGTCATAAGCCTACATTTTCAGCAATCAGTGGGTATTGGATCAGTTCTTGGAACTTCTCCCATTCCCTGACCTTTCCTGCCCCACACTCTACACCATTTTTAAATAAGGCTTTTTGTGTTCTTCTGAGCTGGCCTTTGGGCAGCCTGGCCTTACTATCGATGTGGGCTGTGGACAGTGCTAGGAGATTAGCAGAGAATGATAGTTTTGTTTGCTTTTCAACCTTTCAATATTTTTATTTTTCTTTTAGTTTTAAATTGCTGTTACCAATATAAAATCTACAAATACAACGTATTTTATTGTTGCATTACTTTCTAAAGCAGAAAGCAATTTGATAGCAATATCACTGATTCAACATAATGCGCAATAGAGGAAATTGAATTGAGTCATTAAAACACCCATGAGCTTGAGCTCAGAGAGAATGATGGCATTTCTAGGTTGGTCTATATGCATAGTGAAAAGAAACCTTTACTTTGCCTAAATATTATCTTAATATAGAAATCATATATAGGGTAATAATTTTTAAGAGGCCTAGAAGTCCATTCATCCTTATGTCTAGATGTCTTTCAAACATGTATCTTTAAATAAATGCATCATCAAAATAAAGAAGTTTGAAACCTGTCCAACTTTCACTCATTCTTGTTCTAAATATACAAAATATATAGAAAAATATTTTCAAACCAGACTGTAGAAATTAATATCATAGTATTAGCAAACACACAAGTCTATTAGATTCTGGAACTTTAAAAGTGTAATTGAAGTGCTGTGACAAATCTCCACAATAGATATATTCTTCAGATTTTTAGTAGAAAGCTCAACACAGTGGATCCTACTCTTCAAACTGAGGTTTCGTATGTATTGTGAAGAGCTGCCTGAAGAAGCACTAGAAAGGACTGAAGATTGACTTGAGAAAGGTCTTACTTGGGTGGAAGCAGTAGGACTGAACAAAATTGATATCATCCATTTACCAAATAAAACAATATTAATGTCACAGCAGCGAAGATCACTGCAGCTATGGGCCCATACATCACCTCTAAAGGAATTCAGAGCAGGTTCAGGATGTTGATACTAAAGTAATTAATGCTTTTGTTTGTAATGTGTTCAAAACAAAAAAGCTCTAACAAGGCTTAATGTCTTGAAACTGCTGAAAACCCATAAATCATTATGAGATTATTTTAAATTGTCTCAAACTGAAAAATATGAGAAGACAAAGTCACCAGTCATTCCTAAAATATCTTGATCTGATTTTTTTTACATATGACCAGTATCATCACATTAGTCATTATTTTTCTACATTACTTAATTTAACCTTGATTTACAAAGTGAAGAGCATATATTGTGTCCTGTGGTGTAATGTTCTCAATTAAAGAATTAATTTTTTTTCAGAGAAATGTACCTTGGAGAAAAAAAATCAATGCTTTCATGAAGGAGATATTTCTGCACATTACAGAAAATAACTGTATGTTTTCTGCTTGATCAGAATGCAGATATATTTAAGTATATGGATGAAATATAGAAATGAACTATAGATATAGAGAGATTGAAATGCTAAAATATCCTCTCTCAAAACCTTCTTCTACCATCACAGTAGACATTGCTATTATAATGACCACTGACATTTTATTTAATAGTAGACACAGCCATGCTCCCGTGTTCCCCTAATTCCCTGGTTTTTATAACTGATCCTAATATCTGAGAGATATCTAACAATCTAATATGCATCTGGAATAAAATTAATAGAAAAGAACACAAGAGCAGACTTGTCAAGAACTAAAACTGATCTAAAATGGCCTTGATTTTCTTGGAAATGCCTTAATTCAATGAGCTTTGCTCTTCTGATGGGTCCCTGGGGGTGTCAGGGCCCCATCAGACCTCAACCACATCATACCAAGAAGTTTCCTGTAGCAGGGACTCCAAGCTCCTTGGAACAGATGAGAGACTAGAATAACAGTTCCACAGAGGAAGCAAGACAGCAGATTTCTCCCTAGTCATGGATACCGATGGCAGTATTGAACAATTGCTCAAATTGTGTCCTGTGGTGTAATGTTCTCAATTAAAGAATTAATTTTTTTTCAGAGAAATGTACTTTTTACAAAGTACAAATTACTGATGGCAGCATTGAACAACTGCTCAAACTTGCTGGCTTCCTGGTGAAGATAAGGGGCAGCCTGATTCTGCAGCCTTAAGGTTACAACTCAGAGGTGCTGGGCTTCCCAGAGTTTCTCCCTTCTCTCACAGGTGACTGCTCCAAACTTAAGGTTAGATCCTGGTTCTGTCTTGACCTTTCTCTTCTCACTCACCGGGGATCCAGGTGAATGAGATTTGCATAAACTGAAAAGAGGTCTAAAATAAATCTTGACCTCCTTACTTTGAATGAAAAAAAATTGCAGCTTCCAATGCTGGAGGACACACATATCACTGCAAGAGACAGATATGGAAGTCCTCGTTTGTTTCTGAGTTTAAGCATAAGATATGGCAGTGACTAATAAAAGGTTTTAACCTTCTATTTTTCATATTTGCAGACAATATCAACAATATGACTAGGAATTCCATTTATGAAGTGGACAAATTAGCTCCTCTACTTTTGAAAATTGAGTCTGATTTCTCAAAGCAGTCCAAATTATTAAATAACATTTTATTTTTAAAATTGAATATACATGTAGTATGCTAACTTTGGATAAGTACTTCAAAAAATGCTAGCTGAATTTCTTGCTAGAGATTTCTCTTGAAATGCTATTCATGTGAACATGGGGAAATCAATTTTATTCCAAAAAAAAATCCCTAAAACAACATCACAAAATCACGGAATCTTCTGAGCTGCAAGGGACCCATAAGGATCATTGAGTGAGTCCAACTCCTGGCCCTTTACAGGGCAGCCCTGAGAGTTTCACCATGGCCTGAGAGTATTGTCCAAAGATTTCTTGAACCATGTCAGGCTCGGTACTGTCACCCATGGGGAGCCTGTTCCAGTGCCCAACCAGCCTCTGGCTGAAGAATCTTTTCCCTAATATCCAACCTAAACCTTCCCTGTCACAGCTTCAGGCCATTCCCTCCGGTCCTGTGACTGGGCACCACAAACAGAGATCAGTGTCTGCCTCTCCTCTTCCCCTCACTAGGAAGTTGTAACTTCCACAAGGTCTTCCCTAAGTTTCCTCCAGGCTGAATAGACCAAGTCACCTCAGTCATTCCTTGCATGGCTTCTACTCAAGCCCCTGCACCATCCTATTATCAAATCAGGCAAAGGAAAGAAGATTGTCTCCTGAAAGTAAATCATAAAATGTAGAAGTATTTGCTTTGACCATCAAAACTTGCCAGTTAAAGGTCTTGTACACAAAGGATTACATTTCCTCCTGTTCGCTGAGCTATTAAATTCCAAGTTTACCTCTAAGCAATTAACTCTAAATTTTGTCATTCTGTGTTTCAACAGTGTGAAAAATATAACTGCGTAATTGGTACAGGTCTAGCAAAGTATCAGATGCTGTGATATAAATGGTTACTGAACTTCACTCCAGGCCTTCTTTTCTGATCTGTGGCAAATATAAAAAGAAAGTACTGCTGCAGCAAACAAGTTCTTTCCAAGTCTGTGATCCACATCACAGTCTGAATAAAAAGAAAAAATAATTAATGGTTGTTGAAGGGTTCTTCAACTTAATATTACTTATATATTCTTGATACTTAATATTACTGTTTAAATGTAACTTATTTCCCTTAAAAGGGCATGCTCAAAA